CCATAACAGGCCTGTAAGCCAGAGATACTGCGCTGTGTCTTTGGCTTAGTTCCAATTTGAATGCCCAAGGGACTGGAGACCCATGGTGTGAGCCCTGGAAGCTAAAGGCCAGAGAGTCGCTCTGGGTTTGAATATCTGCCCTACCTATCTGTCTGTCTGTCTATCTATCTATCTATCCATCCATCCATTTATATATATACTAAAGCTGGTTCAAAATAGAACATACACACTAGATGACAAATAGTTTTTATTCTGGAAGCATTTTTCTTCCAGAACAGATTTGTTTTTTTTTTTTTCAGAATGCAAAAGTCACCTGGCCCAAAGGGCACAGGATCAACGTTAGGAGCTGATGCTTTAGGTAAAACTTCTTGTTCCACGAGAGGCTGTGTTCTGATTTTTCAGGGAAAGAACAAATCCACAGTCAAAGCCATAGTTGCACCAGTGAGGCAGGCACTCCTTTTCTCTTAAAATATTATCTATATCTATACCTACCTATGTATCTATATGTATGCATAAATGTATCTATATGTATGTATAAATGTATCTATGTGTATATATATATATGAACGTATCTAACTATGTATCTATTTGTCTATATATCTATGCATGTATCTAAGTATGTATGTATGTATGTATGTATGTATCTATCTATCTATCTATCTATCTATCTATCTATCTATCTTATGGTGTGTATATGTGTGTGTATATACATAAGCACATGCACACGTGTACCACTTTGCATGAGTGGAGAACCAAGGGTAACTTTTTGGAATAAGAGCTCTCCTTCTACCATGTGGGTCCCAGGAATCCAATTCAACTCATCAGGCTTGTGGGCAATAGCCTTTACTGGCACAGTCATCTTGCTGGCCCGTGCTCTTCTTGTCTGATTCCTTACCATGTAAGAGCTCACCTTTTCAAAAGCAGCTGGCCATTGTCAAATGATCAGGAAAGGATGGCCAGATTCAATGAGGGACAGTGCTGTGTGGCAGGATCACACTGGGGTGGAGTGGGGAGGCTGCACTCATGCTTTTCCTCCTGTAGAGTCCACATGCTGTGCTTGACTCTACCCTCTCGGACAACCTCTTCCTTGTTATTGCCTGGCAGGAGGATGAGTAAATATGGCATAGTCCTGTAGCACTTCAGTCCCATGTAGGGGGCACATACCCTGCCCTATGGAACAAAACCTCCTGAGCATGCTGTAAATGAGGCAGTGCTCCTGGCTCATAGGCCCTGTGTTAGTCAACTTTCTGTCACTTTGACAAAACTTATAAAGGAGCTGCCTTAATTAAGGTTTTATTGCTGTGAAGAGACACCATGATCAAGGCAACTCTTATAAAGGCAAACATTTAAATGAGACTGGCTTATAGTTTCAGAGGTTTGGTCCATTATTGTCATGAAACATGGCAACATGCAGGCAGACAGACAGCATGCTGGAGTTGCTGGGACTTTTACATCTTTATCCAAAGGCAGGCAAGAGGAGTCTCTCTTCCACACTGGGTGGAGCTTGAACATAGGAGACCTCAAAGCCCATCTGCACAGTGACACTCTTCCTTCAACAAGGCCACACCTCCTAATAGTGCCACTCCGTATGGTCAACCATTCAAACACATGCATCTATGGTGGCCACACCTATTCAAACCACAACAGAAGGAAACTCAGAAACAATTGTAAGGAGGCAAGGTTTCCTTGGCTCACAGTCATGGTGGCTCCAGTCAGTGTGCAGTTGAATTGAGCCTGTGCTAAGGAGTGTGTCATGGAAGCATGGTGGAGGAGGCTTCTTATCTTGTAACTTTTAAGCAAGCTGAGAGATGGGAAAGAGCCCCATTCCTGGTGTCTTATTTAAGGGTACATCCCCAGGAACCTAACTTCCTTCCATTAGGGCCCACCTACTTGGAGATCCACCATGCCCAGTAGTATCCCACAAGGCTGCAACTGAGCATTTAACACACAGGCCGTCTCGAGCAGCATTCAAGAGCCAAAGTACATAAGAACTGTAGGTGGCTTCAAAAGAGAGGAAGTGGGCAGAGTCAGCTACAAATTGCAGCTGGTGCCTGTAGTACTGAGAGGGCCCTGTTTGGGGGTGATCCCTTGTCTGAGAGCAAGAAGGGAACAGAAGTCTGATATACTCGTAGACCCCATAGCCCGCACAAGGTCTGCACAGCTCTAACTTCTTAACATGCCGGGCAAGGATGGGTGTCTTGCCATGTAGCCCATCAGTCCTTTGTCCCGGCCCTCAGAGTCTCTCTCCTTCATTGTGAACATTTGGGCACTGAGGCCCTCAGAAAACCCTCACCCATTTGTCAAGACTTCTGTGCATAGGGTATTAAAATAGCTAACTTCTGCAATGTCTGATTGCAAAACCGTGTACACACTTACTGAGGCTAAGCGTTCCCCTACCACTCTACCCACTCATCTATTTTTGTTCTTTGCTTTCCTGCATTAATTGAGTGTTGTATAAAACACTGCTTACTCCCATCCCAGTGTTATAATAAATACATTCAACTGTCCCCAACTCCAAAATCAAATGTGTTTTTTTTTATTACTATGTATAAATTGACTTACTGATTTGGCGTAAAAATATATCTTCCTGGGGGACAGTTCATAGTTCAGTGGTGGAACATGGGCCCTGTATACTCGAGGCCCTGAGTTCAATTCTTATCGCCAAAAATAATTTCAAATCTTATAGATCACTAGCAAGATACAAATAATATTAAAAGCATTGGAGTCAATGCTTCTCCTACCTCAAGTGTCAAAGCCATTGGAAAGCTAGTGTACATGTCCTCTTGCCTCAGAGAAAGCTGAGAGTTGGAGGTTCTAATCTCTGCACAGAATTCTGGGGTTCCTAGTAGGTAGTCTCCAATCTCCAAGAAAACTTCCTCTTGCAGGACATTGGAGCTGAAATATCCAACAGAAAGTTGACTCAATCAGCAAGCAGAATTCATTCCAACAGGGTGCAGGGCTAATGGCAATGTCTGCTCCAATCCCAACATCTGCAAGCAAAACAGGCCAGATGTGGGAAGTCTCATGTTCTTCCAGCTTCCCTCAAGATGGAAGAAGAATGGCTGGTTTCTCCTTACCATTTCCATCGTTTGTGTCCCCTCAAGATTAGACTTCTCTATATAGGCAGCAAAGAAGAAATGGAAGCCTCAGAGAGAGGTGGCTCACAAAGGACCCAAGCCAAGTGACAGAATTGTCAGTGGCTTCTCAGCCTGTTGTTGGAGTCTGCCACCAAGGCCTCGTCTGCTGGGGGGCTGAAGACAAAGTCTGGGGTACAGTGTACCAGGCCTGTGCTGTCTCTGGAGTCTCTTCCCTACTACTGAATGGGGAGGGGCGGAGGGCTTCAAGCCCTTAAAGACAAGGGCAGTTGTAGCATTTCTGTGGCAGCATTAACCTACACATAGGGTGACCAAAAAAAGCAGCAGGTTAAACTCTAAGCCTCACTACTGAGCACTGGGAAACAGCGATACTTATGTTTAGAGGGTTGTGAGAAATGGTGAAGGTATTTAAGGAAGGAAAGGACTGCTTCCTTCTCACTCCTCTCAATCTCCCTGTGGGAAGGCTTGAGTCTTGGGCTTGTTCCTCTGTGAAGGTGGATTTGTGACAGGCTGTCTGGCTAACAGCTGTCACTTGAGGACTTCTGTGTCTCAGTGTCATTTGTCATTCTTAAGTGTGGGGGAAGCAGACTTCCATTTGTAGTGACAATGCCTGCAGAGGGGCTTGTGTCAGGGACAACCCACACTGCTCATTTCAAAACCAGAGCAGCGAGGAGCCAAGCAGAGAAACCTTCCAAAGGCTGCAATAGATGCACAGGCTTTCTTCCTCTGCAAGCTGCAATGTACTTTCAGCTAAATTAAAAAAAAAAAATGTTAGCCCAATTCTTCACCACATTTTACTATGGAGCACTTATGGATGGGAAAATTAAACAAAAAAAGCTGAGGAACTTTCCAGTCCCAAAGTAGAGAAGTATTTGGCTCGAAAAAGCAGTCAGGTTCTCAGGTCTAGGCAAGCATGTACAGATGTAGGCCTCCTAGCTCTGTTTTGGCACTACAGCTAAAATCCCTGGAAATATTTCAGTAGGGGACCAAATGGGAACTCAACATGGGGAGCAGAAGGAAGGCTGGCCAGAAAGACCATGGATGGGATCTGAGACTTCGAGTTCTTCCAGGGCCTTCTGTCTCCCAGATATTCTTGTCTGCGTTCTGAAGAAGTTGCAATCCAGACACAAGCAACACAAGCAAAGATGGGCTCTGGAGGACCATAAACACTCAGATAGAGAAGCTTCCAGCAGCCTTTATAATACAGACTGCTGAGATGGGGCAGGGTATTATGTAGTCCCAGTCAGAGGTCTTAGTTGGGGGGCAGTCTGAAGGGGCAGCTATCCTGGAAGAGGAGGCTGTGGTTGATACCTTCTGCACACACTGTTGCCATTCTTATTCTCTTGGGCCTAAGGCATTGGTATCTGGGACAAGGCTGTCATCACGGCAATGATGAGTATTCACCGAAGGCCTCATCCACTCTTCACACAGACCTACCTGAAGGCTCAGATAAATAAATCTGTAAGAAAGCTTCCTTCTTCTAGCAGAAAGACTGGGAAATAAGACAGAACACGTTTTAACCATACCCTTTTAACTCCTAGCTGAATACTATCAACTCTCTGGCACCACAGCTGTAGAGAAATCTGTATAGAAAGTCTTAATTCCCATCCCTGCCCAGCAGCAGCAGCAGGCAGCCTGGATAAGCATTTTTCTTTTGCTAGAGGACCAAGCAAAAGCCAGGCAGGAAATGTGGATTCCATCCTCACCTCTCAGCACCTTGTGACCGACGGAAAGACTCAGTTTTTTTCTTTTTAAAATGATGAAGTGTTTTATTTACATTTAGTCTTTTTAAAGTTATGTGCCAACTTAAAAATGACATACTAACCAGGCATCAGCATTCAAAAGCTAGGTTGAACAGGACCGGCCTTGATGAATATGCAGCAGGTTTGGTTTCAGAATGTAAAATTAAATGGTGATATAAGCCATATTACTACTGTTTCTAGAGTTATTATCAATTGCTAGCAGTACAACTCCCAGAAGGAAGTAGATGGATCCAACAGTAATATAAGCAATTCCCAAAAATGGATTCTTTCTTCCCATCCATGAACTAGTGCTCAAGATCATCCGTTTTCGTCCATCAAAGGAATGTACAGGGTAATTGTATGTGATGTTCAAATAGTACTGTCCAGCTGGTAATGTCGGGTGTAAATCATCTCTCCACTCTATAAGACGATACAACTTACGAAAAGTAGGAAATGCTGCAGTACGCATCCAAAGAATAAAGTCTTCATTTATGAATCCATTGTTACTTTCATCATCAGGGTCTAGCTCATATACTGGTTTATGCCAGTTTACTGGCTTTGTTGTATCTTTAAACTTTTCTTGGAGGGTGTCTCTTCCAGGTGGATTTCTGAATTTCACATTTTTATCTGGCCACCAAGCAATACCTTTTTTCTTCAAAGGAATTGGAATAGGCTTGGGATCAGTTTCATTGGCAACCAGAAACAATTCTAACGTATCGTTAAACATGCTGTTGGCAATAGCTCCATATGGAGCAATTGGTTTGTCTTCGTTTCTCCGATAAGGTTCACATTCCTTACTTGGATTAAGCAAAGCACTAGGGTCTCCATTTAACTGGCTATCATCTCGAGATTTCACATAACGACGATGATTTTGATAGAAATTAGACAGTCCATAATACATAAGCACATTGCCCTCAAACGACTGTTCCAGTGTGAAGTTAATGATACAAGCACAAGACGTCACATCCGAAGATAAACATTTATTGCAGGGGCTGGAAGGTTCTGTTCCAGTGTAATCAATCTCAATCTCACGGATGTTCTTGGCGGTGATGAAGATGCCGATGCCGATGGGGATGAAGATGAGGCTGATGATGAAGAAGGTGGGCAGCACCGTGCAGGCCGTGAGGATGGGCTGCCAGTCGGGCAGCCGTTGAAGTTTGAAGGTCGTGTTATCTGGTCTCCGGGTCTTGGTGGCGCCCCTAGGAGGGCCCGTGCGCCCGCCGTCCACCTCATTCTTCGCGCTATAGTTCATCGCCATCGGGCTTAGGCTCAGCCACGTCCAGCTGGGCCGCCCAGAGGACCTGCCTGCCGACGATGGCAGGAGATGCGCCGCTGCCGCTACTGCCTCCACCACCCGCGCCGCCATCGGGGAGGCTGGAGAGGCGGGACACACTTCTGCGGACGGCCGGAAGCGGGAGTCTTCAGGAGACGCCCCAGGGAGGGAGAGAGAAGAAATAGGGAGAAGATCGAGGGACGAGGGGAGGGGAGAAGGATGGAAGGGGGAGGAAAAAAGCAGACGCACCCTGATCAACTGCCCTGTTGAAGTGTTTAGGCCAGGCACGCGGCTATGTGAGGGCATGCCGGAAAGACTTATTTTATCCTCTAGCATGATGACAGCAGGATGGCCAGGGCCATCTGGACATCTTCCTCAACCCCTGTCAGAAAGCAGGAAGAAGGTCTTAGAAAGGCAGGACTTGGTAGAGGGCAACCATCAGACCTACACAGACATCCAGCCAGACTCAAAACACCCAAAAAGATTTTAACTAAAGTGCTATAAGGTATTTATGCATGTGAACACACACACACACACACACAGGACGCATGCACGCGCACACACACATTCCACTATCAGAGTTTAGAGGGAACTGTGGGAGCACACGAACAAACCAGATGTTAACATCACTGCAGGAGATCTGAACAGAAGTAAACTGATCCCTGCCTCCTGCATCTAAACAGGGAGACAGCTCCTCACAATCCAGAGTCTCCTCACAACAGCCCAAAGACCCCCGACCCAGTCAAAGGCCACTCATGTAATCCCGCAATGTTTTCAAACTTCTGCTGTGCTACTCTTTGGTATTCAGGGCAATAAACCAGTATTCCCAGGCATTCTCAGAGTTTTCAAAATGGTGGCATTTAACTCAGGCTTCTAACAATCTTCACAGCCTCTAACTGTAATAGTGACACTATCTTTAAAGAATAAAAGACACTATGTTTAGCAGTACTTACAAAGAACAACATCTTACGGGAATATCCAGTGAAAATACAATGTAAAAACTCAGGTTTTTCAGTAAGGTAATGGACCCTTTTGTACTCATGTGTGGATTCTGCCCTTCTAAGGATTCATTTGCTTTGAAAATGTGTTATAGCTTGAGACAGCATTCAGAGGACTTGCACAAATATGTGCATATGTGAATTTGTCTGCTACCTCCCAAAAGCAAGTAGCAAGGGGACCAGTGGGAGTGCTGATAGCTGCCTTGAGGTAAGCCTGTTAGGCTCTAGTTTGCTTTCTGTTGCTGTGACAGACTACTCAAGACAAACAGGTTAACAGGGGGAAAGGTTCATCTTGGTTTATAGTGCTGGAAGTTTCTGTCCCTGGTCATTTGGCCCCATCACTTTGGGCTGTGAACAAGCCAGAAAGAAAGTGGGAGAGGTGTTCACCGAGCACAGTGTTCAGGAAGTAGAGAGAAAGAGGAAGGGTCAGGATCCTAACATCCTCTTCAGTGGTATGCTCCTAATGACTTACCTCCGCTAGAACATGTCTCCTAAGACTCTTACCATCTACCAACAGCCCTGGGAACTACGCAAGAATTTGCTGTGAACGGTGGGGTGAGGTATGGGTGGGGGTGTTTGGCATTTAAGAGGCAAATCATAGCAGATTCTAACCTTGGTACATCCAAACTTAAGTTCTCATGTGTAGCTAGTGGAAACATAAAAGTAGTACAATCACTCTGACAATTGGTTTGACAGTTATTTTAAAAACTAAACGTGAAGTAGGAATATAACTGAATATGCGGAATCTTGTGTATGAAATCTCCTAGCAGTTTTATTTATAATAATCAGGATGTGGAATCAACCCAAATGTTCTTCAAAGAGCAAGAGGCTGACTAAATTCTGGAATAGTCACAAAGGAAATTTTACTGACTAATAAGAAGAATGAGCCATCGGCATCAGCATAGGCAACAGCTTGAATCTATCGTAGAGAGATGTCAGACTTAAGGAGAACAGCCTGCCTGAGAAGGTTCTCAGAGTAAAGAGAGCACAGGGAAGTACAGGCTGGGCATTTCCAGGGGACCGGCTAGGCGTGTGTGGATGGTGAGACGACAGAGTGGGGATATGAAGAACCTCGGGGATGATGGAAGGTGAGAGCCACCTTCCTGTCACCACAACGCGTGCTGGGATAGTTTACTTGGGAAGAGAAGTTTATTTTAGTTCACAGCTTTGAGTGTTTCAGCTCACAACTGATTGTGCCACTTGCTTGGGGACGTGTCATCAAGGAGGAAGCGTGCGACAGAGCAAAAGTGCTCACTCCTGCTGGGAAGCAATTCGAAGAAGGATGTGGTGGGGTACATCCCTGTGAGCTAAGGACTGTCCGTTAGGTGCACCTCTTAATGTTTCTACTACCTCCCAATAGTGTCACCTGGACACCAAGCCTTGGTCACCCCAGCCTTTGAAGGGCACTGCTTTTCTCTGCGTGTCTCTTCTGTTCTATCTCTTCACATTCAGAAACCTTTTTACTTTGGCTTATCAGACTTTTAAAGTATGCTTAGATTTCTATTCCCCCTTTTACATTTTACCTAAATTTTAGGACTTTTTTAATACTGGGAAATTTTGTTTTGTTTTCCTTTTCTTCCTTAAAAAATTTAACCTCTTGCTCTTCTCTGAAGCTTTTTTCTCTACCCCATCTTTATTTTCCATCCATCTAACAAACCTCACAGTCCCTCTTCTCCCCTTTGCCTATCTCCTTTCTTATTTATTTACTGTTCCAATGCTTACCCTAAACAATTTATAGTGCATTCTACAACAGTTTGGGCCTTTTCAGTTCTGCGCTCATTGACGATGCATTAGCAGACTGTAATTACTTTAGCTGTGTGGCTGAATCTTGCACAGTGTGATGTCATCCTGCTACTGTGGTTCTTGCATAGTGTGATGTCGCTCGCCTAAGGTACTTTGTTTCCACCCTGCTGAGTGGTATAGTCGAGACTGTACCTTCAAGGCTTAGGCTTCCCAGTAGGAAGACCCCTGCCCCACTCCAGATCCCCAAGAGATGTCCAAACTGATAGATGCACAAATTACAATACAGAAAGGCAAGGAGAGTGGCAGAGCAGAGAAGCGTGACTCTGAAAGATCACCAGGGCTTCTCAGCTGCTGAACTCAGATTCTGGAATAGCAATATGTCAGATGAAGACTCAAGTTTTGTGGCAAAAATGATGGACGACCTAAAAGAAGTTGCAAACAAGCATATTGATCCAGTTCAGACCCTAGAGACAGAAGTCAGCACCACAGGGGGAGAAGTCAGCAGAGTGAATAAGAAAATCAGCAACAATGCCAATGAAAAAGTCAGCAACATGGAAGAAAAAGCCAGCAAGGGATTTCAGATTTGAAAAAAAATATATAATAGAAATGTTGGGAATGGCGAACTCAGTGACTCACATAGAAATACAGTGGGAAACATCAAGAACAGACTTGGCAGAGCAGAAGGAACATACCAGAGGCTGGAGAGGGCTGAGGAGATGCTGTGTTCAGACTACAGCAAGGAGGCAAGGGGACAGAGTATGACCAGAACTGAGAACCATCTGAGAACCCCTGAGTATGGATAAGATACCAAATGTGAGAGTCCAAAGGGAGAAGGAACTGAGACAGGCACCAAAGACACAGAGAACACACACTCATACCTCAACAGAGATACTGCAGAAACATTCACAAATCTGAGAAAGAAATAGGCATTCAGACCCAAGGAGGCATCTTGTGCCTCAGATAGGTGTGGCCAGAGGAGAATACCCGTGACACACTATAGTGAAGATGTCAAAGCTACACAGCAAAGACACAATGTTAAAAGCTGCAAAGGGAAAATACCAACTCTCTTACAGAGGCAGAAACATCAGCACAGCACCAGCAACCCTCAAAGTTAGGAAACCATGGAAACCAGAGGAACACCAGACACTCCCTTTGAGTCAGGCTTTCTCGTTGACCTGGAGCTCACCGTATAGGCTAGGTCGTCTGGCCACGGAGGTCCAGGGATCTGCTTGACTCTGCCTCTCCCAGACTGGGACTATAAGTGTGCTACTATCATGCTCAACCTTTTTATGTAGGTTCTGTGGATCAAACTCAGGACCTTCTGCATGCAAGGCAAATCTTTATAGACTGAGCTCCCCCTCCTACAACCAGCCCAGAAATTTAGAGATCTCAAGGGAGGTGGGAAATGGAAAGGGATACATGGGATAGGAAAGCAGAAAGGAGACTATCAGGGAAGGGAAGCAGCTGGGGAGAGGAGGCAGAGGAGAGAATCCTGGACTGAATGAGAACAAAGCCAGTAACACATATGTATGGACAGGATGGAACCCGTTACTTTGTATTCGAACATAAAAAAAGAATTACAAAACAGAAAGAAACAAAACATTCGCCGGTATTTCCAGATATCCTTCTGGGAGCTGGTATTTCCGCACATTCTGTATTTGTTGTTAGTGGTGTTTTCTCATCCAAGGAAGCCTTGCTGCCTACTGGTGGGGTCTTCAGCTTGTACGGCTAGACAAACTGGGTTTCAGTCTTCTCTATTTAGTGCCTGTGTGACTTTACAAAACCTGCCTCTTGTGTCTCTCAGCCTGGTGTCTCTCCTGCTGGAAAACAGAGGGAATCATTGCAGTCTAACCTCGTTAGCGCTGTCAGTGGGAAGCAAATTGGATCACAGCAAACCACTGCATTGTGCTAACGTCAGCAGCCTGTAGCATGGGCCCTGTGACCTTAGAGTCTCACACTGGAATCCTCACTCAAACCCACTGAGGACATGGCTGCCAGACTTCTCCTCGCTGAGATGTTGAGTCTACAAAGAAGCCTTCTCAGGGGAGATACCACAGCACTGCTAATGAATGTTGATCTGTTTTCAATGTGTCAGAAATGGACCCTTCACTCCCCTTAAGTCTTTTGTTCACTTAAAACCAGCAATAGAAATAAAATTCAATTGCTTCAAGAGGACCTCCAACATTGTCAGAAAGCCATGGATTGTGTGTGGCATTTAGGGTGGGGATGCACACAGACTGTCAC